TCAAATGTCAAACGGTGAAGACGAGCCCCGACCTCTGGGTCCGAGAGGACCCGAAAATGTCCGAAAAGTCCGAAAGTTGTGAAATGGAGCTATTCTACAATTCCTGACAAAGAGTATTCGAACATCTTCTAAAACGCAATAACTTTCTTCGAACCGAACTAAACAACTTGAATATTCTTGAAATGTCAAAGGAACTGCTCGTTTACGTTCCGATAATCGATGGACGAAGCAGTGACATTTGGAATATTCGATAATGATTGGACATTCAAGTGGTGGCCGAAGATAAAGATTGGCAGATGCTCGGTTTCCATGGGGCAATCATTCGAGTAGAGTAAGCAGATCGAAATCGGACAGTAAAATCGAAATTGAGGGCGCTGAGGATCTTAAGTAGATTAAGGGGTCTGAACAAGGAGAGCGATTTCCAAATTAGGGATACCGAGCTCCGTGGAGACACTTAGCTAGCTAAAACGGGAGAGCCGAGTACGAATTAAGTGGAGTCACACGCGCAACGATGTTAAGAAATCATTAATAGAGAAGTGTGACCAAACTCAGCGTTCCGAAAGTGCATAAATATAGCGGGCACGCTAATGCAGTGGAGTAGCTCCGAAATGAACGAATGCAAGGTGCATCAGTGTTCAGATTTCCAACTATGTCATCGGAGACCGTGTTAGAGAAGAATTATCACGTATCCTGAAAGCAGACACTTCAAGCTTTAAAATGAGGGACGATTCATTGCTGTACAGTTGTTTCGAACGAATCGGCAACGGTTCGAATATCGACGATTCTTCGAGACTACAGTAATTACTCCCGGAAATGCCAAATTTCGGGTTGCTGTGAATTTCGCTCTGCTGGTCCTGTTTCTATGTAAGTTATTGCTCTGTCGATGCTAAGGCTCGATGCAAAGGAATTGCCTTCGAATCGTGTCATGTGGTCTCCGATTTGCCTTCGAATCGTGTCATGTGGCCTCCGAATTGCCTTCGAAAAAAGAATTAGAAATAAAAAAGTTAAGTCTCCGGTTGCATTCTGACATTGCCACGTATTAGTATTAAAGTACACCAGCATGCTGGCAGCTGCCTTTTTTGCCGACTGCCCGAGTTTCTAAAAAAAAAACAACGAGCCGCGCGGTTCGAAGAATCGCGACTTATTCTCCGATCTGCCGGTCTCAATTCCGACCTCCGAACATCTCTTGCAGAAATTTCTGCATTTACCCGAAGGCAAAAAAATTAGTTCACGGACGAAATAGCCCCGACTACCTCCCCCAGACTCGGCATCCACGATTTTCGGGGGTCGAGCTCGCTGGCAACGAGAGAATCGGCTCGCATCGAGGGATCCAATCGCGAGCGCGTTCGCACAAAAGCGCAACAGAGGCTCGCCACCCTCCGGCGACGCACTCGAGCCGGGTGTTCCCGCGGCTCGAATCGTGCACTGCCTCGTATCGACCAAATGCGCCCCTCGTTCGAGTCCCGTTCGAGTCTCGTTCGAGTTCGGGACCGAGGTAGATGCGGCGGCGGCGGCGACGTGGCGAACACCGGAAAACTGGAGCGAAGAGGGAAACTGTCAGCCCGAAAAAGCCCGGGTTGCCTGGCCGTGGCTGTTCGGGGGAACGGAGAAAAAGCTGGGCGAACTTTGATGGAGAACGGGAGCTGATGGGGAATCGAAGAAACTGCGGAGGGGCAGGAAAAGTCGGGCGTGTTGTCCGGAGAATAGAGTTTCTTAGTTCGGGGGCTTGATAAATTAAGCGGTTCGATCGCTATCGAGTGCGCGAAATCCCCTCTTTCCAGCATTTTTGCGCGCCTCGCGTCCGTGAGAATCTCGCGGAGGCTACTTTTTGGAGGACTACTTTTTAGGTCCGACTTCCGCGAGCGCTCGAGGACGCCGGATGTTTCAACGACGGTTGAAAGGTCGCGCAAGGGAAGTTGCGTCATTTGGTCTCGTAGAATACGGAAGGCTCGGTGAAACAGATGCGTCCGTGGTTTTGAGTGTAACGCGGAGATTTAGGAGGGCCGTGTCGATGGCACTGACAACACGCTGACGGCGTATCGCGCTGGCCAACGAGCCGTGCGGCCATCATGTCGAGGCCGCGTCGCGTAAGGCCGGCGATCGTTGCACATGTCGGTTCTGGAACGGAGGATCGAGCTAACATGCGTGCTGCCAGCCGGATTGTTCGGCAACAGTCACGCATAAGAACGCTCGCTGATCCGTCACCGATTCGTCGCCGAGCCAAGAACCGTCCTTTCGAGGCGATTTTTTAAATCAGTCGAATAAGAGGAACATAATGTGACACCGGAAATCTTTCAATGCGATCGTGTTGTTTCGCATCTACTAACTTCAGCGGTTTGAATTTATTCCTTGGTAGACGTACTGCCTTAACAATTAACAGATTGGCTGTTCTTTTTTTCTGTTTTTCTTGATTTACGAGCATTTTTTAACGGAATTAAATAAGCATGCATGTATGGTTTTAAAGCGTTGCAGTTTTTATTAAATCGACACTATTGTTGATAGAATTTTACAAAGTTATTTATTTACAAGCCCTAGTGTTAATGAAATATTAATAAAATGTTAATAAAGTGTCAATAAAGTATTCATAAAATATTAATAAAAATTCAAGGAAAAACGTGAATTTACGAGGCCCGGCCTGAGAAGCCAGAATGGAAAAACGTAAATTTTCGTTATTTTTATGTCGAGACGCTAATATTGTTCATATAAGGTCACAGGCGAGATATATCGCGACATAACGCCGCTTGTGCGGTGCGACAGACGAGATATATCGCGACATAACGCCGTTTGTGCGGTGCGACAGACGAGATATATCGCGATATAACGCCGCTTGTGCGGTGCCACAGACGAGACATATCGCGACATAACGCCGCTTGTGCGGTGCGACAGACGAGATATATCGCGACATAACGCCGCTTGTGCGGTGCCACAGACGAGATATATCACTTGTGCGGTGCCACGGACGCGTCGTCCCGCGGCGCAATACCGTTCATGCGGCGCCGCAGTAGACGATTAAACACGCGTTTCTGTTTTTTCACCGTCTGTGACCACTTAGCTTCTATGTTCTGTCAACGGTACCAAATTTTTTCGAATTAAAGCTCCCGAATTAACGCGTGTTTACTCGACTGTGGCACCGCATAAACGGCGTTATGTCGCGATATATCTCGTCTGTCGCACCGCACAAGCGGCGTTACGTCGCGAGATATCTTGTCTGTGACTTTATATATGTACAGTATCGGTGTCACGACATAACACGTCCATGGAAGCGAAGCGGTTAAGGGGGGAGATTCATGCGACGGGTGAAGAAAATCGATTCTTCTTTTTTTGCATAATTCAATGCTTTTGCATCTCAAGAATGTTGTGTAAAAATTTCAAAGGGAAATTCTTAGTCGTTCCTGAGGAAAAAGTGAAATTCGACGACGTTGCCTCGTTGAGGGTAATTTACGACGTCCTCAGGTATCCCTTTTCTCGCTGTCGCGTCGCTTCGTGTCGTCGGTGACAGAAACCGCGAAATTTTAAACCCATTTTTCTGAAAACTGCATCTCTCTCGAATTGACGTGCAGGATGACTCGAAAAATAATTAACCGATTGAGTTGGGTCGATGCATGTGTATGCATAATTAAATGATTCATCGTATGAACTAGTGTCCTTCGTAATAATAATTATTTAAACTATGTTTATTGCATATCTAAATTAGAAATTTAAATTATTGTCATATTTATATTATTATTATTATCATCTTTTTGCGTTCAAAGCCGCGCATCTCCGACAATTTTGCATTTTTCAGGGAGGAGTATAATTCATACAACGCATAATACTATTGCGCAGAAAATGTCGTTCGATTCTTCGTTCTGAATCGAAGGAAAAAATTCCTAAACTGCTCGCCATCGACGGGGAGATCCACAAGAAAAAACACGCATCATTTCATTAAAAATCGACAGAATGTAACGAAAAAAAACATTTCGCATCCTAAAACGTTAAAGAATATACATGCCAAATGGCGATTAATATAATCGAAGATTTATGTTGTAAAAAAATTGCCAAATATCACCTCTCGTTCAAACGTTTCACACGAGTCTCCCGCCTTAGCTATCGCGACGGATCTTAATAACGACTTGCAGGCTGCCTTGCTTGACGAATTTCGAAACGTTTGTGCAAAGCAAGTAGGTAGAAGAACAATCGACCAGCGAAGGATAAGTTTCGCTTCGCTTTGGTGTGAATTCTCGCACGGCGTAATCGGAAAAACAGCTTCGCTTTAGCGACAACTGTGTATCAGGACGCTGCTACCGAACCGTTTCCTCGTCTTGGTGCGGCGCTTACGGGGCCCGGTTCATTTCAGAAATTTCCACCGACACGTCAAATTGTCCTGAGACGCAGACGTCGCGCGACGGAGCCGGCTGGCAAGTTGATTCCGAGCGCAGCTTCGCCGGCAGTTCGGCCGAAAGTTGCGCTCACAAGAGAAAGCTCTTGCCGCGCGCATAAAATAATTAGCCGGCCGTAGCCACGCGAGAGCGAGCACGAGAGAAAAGTTACCAGTTGTTTCCCGTTATATCTCTCGAGAACATCTAATATTATCTTGAGACGCGCGAGCAAGCCCCGGCGACGACGGGTCATCGCCCGGCGATCCTCGGAACGCTCAATTATACAGCTGCGAAAATTAGTTCGTTAAGTCGGAGCCGGAGAAAACGTTCGAAAAATGGTCCGCTGATCTCCGAGTTCGAATTCCACGCGGATCCGTTCGCCGTCGGGATGACGTACATGTCGCTATGCCTCGTCGAGGCATCGTCGACGTCGAGCTAGTATTCGCGGACCTTCTGTAACGTCGCGTCTCGAAAACGACCGTCCCGCGACAGATTATTCCGCCTTTGACTGCCGCGAGAAAGTAGAATTTCTCCTCGACAAAGCTCCCTCGTCCCTCCCGTCACTCCTCCCACGGCCGTTCGACCTTCTTTCCACCCTTCTGTTCCTTTCCATTTACACCGAGAATACGTGGTTTTACGAACCTGTCGAGAGCGTGAAGGCGTAGATTCAGCGTCGCGTCCCCCGGATGCCCGGAAGCCGAAGTGTCACGACGACTTCTGGCACGGTGTTCTCTCAGAGCCGCGGTGTCGTACCAGGCCGCTGTATAGTGTCTGACGTAGGAGCCATGCGTGATCGCTGGAAACAGAAAAAGAACCCTGAAAGTCGGTCGAATGGTCTCTGTACAGAGAATTCAGTGGTACGAGCCCGCCATCGGTCGGGCGAGATAAAGTATTTTCACTGCGACAACGACTACATTTCTCCCTAATTCGCGCTCAGATTGTACGGGAAAAGGGACAATTTGGGAATGGGAGATACGATTATTCGTGCCTCGCGTCTCATTTTTGTAGTTGTTGGCAATCGGTAACTGTAAAAACGAGCCTCTAGGCTCGAACAATCGTATCTCCTTTTCCCTAATTGTCCATTTCTGTTTACAAGCTGAGGGACAATTGGAGAGAATTTACTGCATTGCCCCTAGTTCCCTTGTTGAAGCTATTCGCATAGTTGGAATATCTTCGAAAAAGCATCCTTTCGACTTCAAATTCAATTTTGTAAATAATGAGAAATCGCACGGGGCCAAATCAGGTGAATACGGCGGACGATCGAGCACATAGACTTAATCTCTGGCCAGAAATTGGCGAACAATGAGCGACTTGCGAGACGGCGCGTTATCGTGCAACGCGAAGAATGGTCCGAATCGTCTCTCGATTGATGTTCATAGCCGCTTGCATCATTCTCGGTGAAGCATCGCGGTCATTTGCAATAAAATTACGTATTTGTTCGATCGTTTCAGCTTTTCGAATCGAAACTGGCCTCCCCGTATGTTGTCCATCTTCCAGCGATTCTTAACCATCCAGAAATCGTATATGCCACACGAAAACATTTGATCGACTTAAACAGGCATCGCCGTACACTTGCTGCATCGGTCGGAATGTTTCCGATGCACTTTTTACCAAGTCTTGCGTTCAATTCAATCACCGCTTTCTGTTGCATGATACAATTTTAACATCGATCAAAGACTTGGTCAGGAAGAAGTGTCATAACTTTCTCATTTACCATTCGAGTAGCATGAACTTAGGCGCGTCAGATAGACAAATGATCGACCTTTCTAAGGATGCTAAGGCTCAACAGACATCGCTGCGTTGTTTGCTGAGATATAGCGCCAGTCTTAACAATTAATTGTCACACCGTGTAAACGGATGACAGATGAACAACCGCGGAAAGAATATGAAGTACGTTGACCGCGAATCCGTGTACGAATGAGAGTATGAGTAATTAGAATAAGTACATGCAAGATTAAGAAAGACTTGCTCAGGAAGAACTGTCAATTATGTTAATTGCACAGCCATGGAGTCCCCGTGGCCTTCGACAATGCTGCGCGAATTCCTCCAAGCCGACCCTCGGCAGCGTTTCGTTCTGGGATGACTCTTCGGAATTCCCGAATTTATGGCGCGTCATGGTTATTGAGGAAGATGTAAACGAAACTTGGACGCCAAATGATTGCAAAATGCAAGAAGAAGGTCTTCCTCTCAAAAATAACGCGTCCGTGCTGTAAACCTCATCGACGAAAAAAACCACATTTATTTATCAACAGATTTATAAATCAAGCCGTATTAATACTTTAAACTCGAACAGCGACTCTGTGGTACCGTTAAAAAAACAGTCCTATCGCATTCCAAAACAATTTTTAGATTGTCCAATCTGTTATTCTCGAAAAACTGTTCAAATATTAACTGTTGTACGAATTACGAGACTACTACGATTAAAATGCACCGAGTCGTTTAAAATGGGAATAACACAGGTCAGAAGAACTATTTTGGATTCAGAGTTAAAATAGTTTCGAGTACAAACGGTTAAGAAGTTGACACACGCGTGCCCAATACACGTTCGAAACCGGAATAACTAATTTTAAACTACAATATCGACGAAATATATAGAAAGAATCCGGGAGCTGCATTTATGGAAACAATAAATAATAAATCCAGTAGTATAGGTCAGCCGTTGAGCATATCCGCGGGTATTTTTCAATGTACAGGCAGTCCCAAAAATGTCTCGTAATCCGGAAATGGCGGGAGCCATTCATTTGAAGCAACTTCTTCCTTTAGAAAAATTTTCTCCGCGGCACCGTTAACGAGTTATTAACGAAAAACAATGACCAATAAGAATCGAGTACGGCCGACGCGAGGCGGCCCAGCCAACCAGCGCACGAAGCCCAGTTCCGCTCATTGGCTCGGTCGCCTCGCGCCAGCCGAGCTCGCCTCTCATTGGTCACTGTTTTTCGTTAATAACTCGTTAACGGTGCCTCGGAGAAAATTTTTGTAAAGGAAAAAGTTGCTTCAAATGACCCGAGGAACCCGCCACTTTCGGATTGCGAGACATTTTTGGGATACCCTGTATATTGAAATGTATGGCATTTCTAACCTCGATGCTAGCGGAAGCACAAATAGGAGCGAAGCGTCGTAAAAATCCACGATATAAGCCAAGTATAATCGATAATATAAAATCAAATAAGTGCTACAAGTCAACGCTTGATCAGGCGAAATAGCGACAGCGTAGCTTCGGAACGTGTAAATCACTTTGCCAGGTCGAAAGGCAACAGCGCCGTGTACGTGGAAAGGTTCCGACCCGCCGGGAGCGTTCCGGACTCATAATCGGGGACGTTGTAAGTAGCGCGAGTCAACGATTCGACGGGCCGGCCGGCAGTTTTCGTGTTCCGAATGTGTATGCGCCGGCCTCGCCGTAATGAAACGACACTTTTCCGCGCGAACTGCGGCACAATGGACCTCTATGTATGCAAAGCTCGCTGGAAAACAAGTTAACAATAGAATGTTAAAAAGTACCGCGAGACGTGCCGAGCCGTTCGCGCAGCCTGCGCTCGCGCGCGCGAGCGCTCCTCTGCCCTCTCGGCAACTATCGGGGGTGAGGATCTAAATGCAAATTATTTCCGAGGTAATACATTTTCACGATTCGGCGCGCCCTATCTTCCCTCGCCTGTGCCGTTTCATGCACTTCAAGTCGGCATTTATCTATTTACCGCACGCAACACCATAACGATCTCAGCCCGTCGAGCTTCCACCGCTCGAGATATCATCGTTCCCGGTTTTCAATGGCGCCAGCCGGTTCCAGAGGGAAGCCGCTGACTTATATTTCGTCGACGCACATTGACGTACCGCACGCGATTCCACCGCGCGAATTTCCAGCGAATCCTCCTCGAATCGCTCGAGAAGCTAACGAGACCGATTGTCAGACACGAACGATCCCCGGCGCGCTACCAATTTAACAGCCATTTATCGACATCGTCGACGGAGAACGACCGACTACTGTAATTATCTCGAGGTAGAAAATATTTTCGTAGAGCGCTACGATAAGAGCGTTTCGAAGTACCGTAAATTCTCCCTGATAGTCTCGCGGCTCGGAATCGAAAAATGGACAACTTAGGCAAAAAGGACGCGATTTTTCGAGTTGTGTGGCTCGCTTTTGTAGTTTCGCCGACAACTCGTGGGAGAGACAGGGATAGAACGAAAAACGGGGCGGTCGGCGATAAATACATAATTACAATATATAGTATACATATATAGTATAGTTGTACAATATATATACATATAACTTATAATACATATACATTACAATACGTGTACATTATATACATGTACATTATAATACATATATATTTATAATGTATAATAATACATATTCATTATAATAGATATATATTATAATACATATACATTATAATACATATTCATTATAATGCATATACATTATAATAGATATATATTATAATACATATCTATTATAATGCATATACATTATAATAGATATATATTATAATAGATATACATTATAATACATACAGATTAATGTATTAAACTATCGCGCGTATTAAACTATCCGCTGCGTAAGCATTTGACGCTGGTAATTGCGACAATAACGCTGGAATAGGAAAGATGCCTCAACCGTTCCGTTTTCAATTTTTCATACATGAAAATTTTGTTAACATATTGACCAGATTCTTCCAATTAAAACGACACGTTTCATACAATATTCATTCAATTACATCGTGATTGATTTTATTTCATGTAATCAGAAATATCTATCCAAACTATATCATGTTTGGTCTCATTTCAATCAGAAAACTGTCAGGAACTTGTTAAAAAAAATTCAATTATGAAATGTTAAAATTAAAAAAGTCATGTTACTCTATTACGCGTTGTCATTCCGGGCATTCTAGTCAAAGGAGCCGCGTCGCGTGCTGCATCATACGCTCGATCGACTCCGTCGAACCTTAGCATAGGCATACGAATAGCGCAAAGACAGCTTAAGCAAGCTTCTAATGCTGACTATAATAATATCTCCCTCACTGACGCTCAGATTGTGCAGAAAAGTGGACAACTTAGGGAGAGGAGGTGCGATTATTCGAGCCTTGCAACTCGTTTTTATTTATTGTTGACAATTGGTAACTATAAAAACGAGCCACAAGGCTCGAATAATCGTATCTCCTCTTCCCAAATTGTCCATTTCCGTGGACAATTTAAACGTCAATTAGAGAGACATTCCTGTATTGGGTTGGCAGGAAAGTAATTTCGGTATTTCGATGTGAAATAAAACTCAATATTTCCTATAGGAAAAAGCGGTCTCGGCGCTTTGTTGTCTTTGTGAAAATAAAAAAGTAAAATGCGTCGAAAATGTTCATTTTTGCACTCGATATTAAAATTGACAGTAAACTATCAGTTGTAAAAAGAAAGTTACAGTAATGTCTCCCTAACCGACGCTCAGATTGTGCACAAAAATGGACAATTTTTAAAAAGGAGACACGATTATTCGAGCCTTGCGTTTCATTTTTATAGTTGTTGACAATCGGCAAATATAAAAACGAGTCGCAAGGCTCCTCTTCCCAAATTATCCATTTTCGTGGACAATCTGAGCGTCAATTAGAGAGACAGTACTGTATCAAGAAGAATTTTCTCCGCATCTCGCACCGTTGCAACATTTTCTCACGCTCCGTAATCGCGATTTTGTTCACTATGCTATCATTATAAGGCTCCTCTTCCCAAATTATCCATTTTAGTGGACAATCTGAGCGTCAATTAGAGAGACATTACTGTATCAAGAAGAATTTTCTCCGCATCTCGCACCGT